GGTCTTGTTGGGAGCAGCTTGACACTCTTCTGTTGTCTAAACGTGCACACACGTGTGCTGAACCAGCTACGGACACCATGCACACATAGTCTCCAAGAGCAGCCACTTAAAGTAACTTTAAATGATGTGAACATGTTACAGCATAAGATACAAATGCTTTATAAAGGAGAAAAATGTTAGTGTCTAAGTAACACATGTCTCTTTAGAAATTCCTCTGGAATACCTTCCCCACCCCCCATAGAGGGTCGTATTGCGCTGCAGGAATCCGACTTGAGGCATAGGAGTTGGGCTGGTGTGGGAGGACAGTCTCGACAGCCTCGCCTGGCCTGGGGCCAACCCTCAAGTTGCTTAATTTTTTTTGACTTTTGTTTCTTGGCCTATAAGATGAAATAATAAGACATGTCCATGTCCCTGGTTTTGTTGCCTTCTGTCCTCCTGCAAGGGTGAAAAGATACAAGGTACATTTGGAAGACAAATGATGATCACTATGCAAGAAACAAAATCACAGTTTCTCAGTAGACACTGGCCTTCCCACCAGCACAGGATTTTCATTTGCATCCTCTGAGATTCACCAAGAAGTGTTGACATATCACCCCACATTTACATCAAGCAAAGATAGGGAGTGGGGAGCGGCGGGGACAGCCGGCCTCTGTGGCGACATGCTGGCGCGGTTCCATTTGCACAGATTCCAGATCATGCGCCCTGCTCGATTGCAAGGCCTGGTTTTAATCTTCAGGGCACCTTGACTGGTGTTATTACCTTAAACAATTTATTTTCTTCCAAGACATCTTGTGGGACGCCAAGTTGCCTCTCCTGGTTTCTGACAGATGTAAGAGTAGCTAAATGAAGCAACAGGATAAAAGAAGACATCAAGACATATGAAGTTATAAAACAAACTCAACATCATGAAAATAGGATATTTTTGTCATATGTTCTGCTTTAGTGGTCTTCTAGAAAATAGTATGTTTGATACTATTATTGAAAAGAAAATCTTAACCTAATCACTTATGTGCTGCCCTAGATTTCATATAAAGTCATCATATGAATGTACCACTTTGCAAGAAAAATGCTTTAGGACATCAATCATGTTTGTAAATGTGTGTCATGATTAAAATGCCACGATTAATCCTATTAACCTTTGAGTACAGTATTGCAGATTGAAATCAGGTATCAGGAAAAGGCTTATCATTTGATAAGCTTTCCATCAGAAAAGAAATTCCATATTTTATTTGACATTAAGGCTCTTAGTTGTTTAGTTCTTAAATGTTTTCCTTTGAATATGTGAATACAAATCAGTAAATTCAGTTTTTCCCATTATCTATAGCCAGGAAAGGTTCAAATTACATTTGTTTGAAGCAATGCAGTATCCAGAATACATGACTCAGAGAAGGTTTTTCCTTTAGCTCCATGACAAGGCAAATGTGCCAATATAACGTGGCAGTCAGAGAATATTGGCTGGAAGGCAGGGTCTGAGGAGAGCGAGGCCACACTGCTGTGCAGAGAGCCGCCTCTTGCTTTGGACAGACAAGCTTCTGCTGTAGAATGTGGGGAAACTTCTTAATGGACAAGGAACGTTTACTGGGTCAGCCACATTGGTGATGTGCTCAGAGCCCAGCAGACCGGGGAGTCCCCTGACTTCAGTCTGCAGGGAGGGTTGTGGCCTGGAGGTGGCAGTTCTCCACGCAGGCTGCCCCAGTTATGGGAATAAAAGCCTATGGCAATAAAGAAAAGAATTCTGACACTCAGGATGAACGGTTCTGTGGCTACAAGGCCCACCAGGCCAGGGGAATTTAGAAGATAGAAGTGGGGAGAGGGATTCTAGGAGAAAAACAGGAAAAGACAGTACTTGCCATTCCAGAGGATGGGGACGCACGTCGGGGTTTCGGGGTAGGTACCAAAGTGCTCCATCCATACTCCCTGCTGTGGGAGGCCAGGGAACAGGCGACAATGACTTTGCTCAGTTCTGTTGCTTAAGCTTGGCTCTTAATTTGGAGAAATTTACTGCCTAACATGTTAATAGTTATGCTTTGAAGGCATTTTTGAGGAGGAAGATAAAAAGCTGTCACGAAACATCACCGAGTTATTTTCATTATTATTTCAGCTACTCCTAATAAGGAAGGAGTTGGTATTTTCTCATTCTGAGCAGCATGGTTTGCATTAGCTTTTCTCATTTCCTGCATTCTTTGGTGCACTGCTCTTCAGAGCAAATCTGGCGATGACAAAGTCTGAAGCATTTTTAGCAAAGCAGATGGTCATTTTGCAGGAGCAAAGTGTGGCAGGGTTTAATTTACAGCAAGCCATTGGCCGCGACACTGGGAGCGACTCAGGCTCAGCTGGAGGAGGGTCCCTTCAAGGAAGAAGCCAGGAAGGTCCCCAGGGCTTCCCATGTGCTTCAGGCCTGACATTCGCAGAGGAGATGTGTCGCAGCCTGGCAGTGGGGAGGAGGGCAGCCCCATGCCGCTGGCATGTGTGCGAAGTAGTGCCGAGGACCGCCACATTGCTCCCAAGCTCTGAGCTGCTGCACACACTCACACACAGATTGTGAGCGCACGTGCCTTTGACACAGAGCACACGTGTGATATGCATATCACATGCACACACAGTACACCTTACTCAGGCATACAGACCACACACAAATCACACAGATATACATGCATGCCACGTGCATACATCACACACAATTACATACATGTATGCACCCCATGTGACTATGTCACTCACAAATCACACAAACGTAATACCTCATATATCACACACAAAGCACACACAGAGAAAAATACCCAGTAAATATTTTATTCGTCAATGCTAATGGAGGTGAGATAAAATACGGACACATAAAAGGACTTACGAGGAGTTACCTGAGAGAATGTGGGTGAGCTCTGGGAACTCTGGCCTCAAATCTCCGTGATACGAGTGGGTTACATGGGACAGTGTTGAAGCCCCCTCTAGTCTGCATAGTTCTTGACCTCCCTTCCGTGGAGCCTCTGCATGTATTCAGAGAGAGAAGCTCATCACATTGTTATTTCTAACTCTGTCGTGTTGTGTTCCTCTATCCTGAAAATTTATTTTCCAGGGTTTTAGAAGGCTAATAATCAACATTACCATTTTTTCGCTGTGTTCAGAACCTGTGGAGAGATAGGGAAAGGCATCGTCAGATGGAGAACAAAAGTCACCTTTATTACTGTTACAACTGCTTGGAGAAAGTGATTAGGGACAAATGATCTTGGTAATATTCCCTGGAGTTAACTCCTCTCCCCACCAACCCCCCACACCCAAATGAAGGCCTTTCCCAGCACAGGGGCGAGCGGGCCCCGTAGGTCCACTGCCTGGCTGAGACACAGGACATGACAATGACCACACTCTTTAGGGAAGAAAACCCCACAGAGAGAAGAGAGGAGGGGCTGAACTGCAGAGGGTCCACGTCATTTTCCTGGACCCTCCAAGTCAAATCAGCTCCTCCTGCTCTCCCTGGGAGGAGTGACCCCACTGTGCAGGGGCAGGACAGCCATGGTCCTCTGAGAAGTCCCGTCTCGGGGAACCTTGAAGGTTCAGGAATAAAATTCTCCTGACGGCTTGCAGTCACCGCTGCTCCTGCTCGCCACGTTGGGCGATTTGGTGTGGGAGACCGATCTGTGTCAGGGGATGCCCCTGCCTTGTCACTGAAGCCTGTCTTGGTGAGAAAATGAGAATTAAGATCACGTGGAAGTGGGAGGGGGGCATTTTAACCAGATATGTCTGCCACCCACTGGCACACCTGTAGGTCTAGCCCTGAACTCACAGGAGCGTGCTCTATGTGAATAGTATGCTACCTAATAAGAACACACACTGAAAAGAACATGGTCATACGCTGTTGATGAGACTAGAAATGGAACATTTCTGGAGAGCCATGTTTCAGTGTGTATCAAGGATTTAAAAAGATTCATTATTTTTGACTCAGTACATTTTCAATAATTGAGTCTAAGGAAATGATTAAATATGAAGTCAAAGTCTTATACACGAGGTTGACCCTATAGCATAATGCAAATGCACGGTATATCAATAAAATAAATACTGAACAATATGAATGTAACCAAATGATACAATCATAGAACTGAATATTATTATCTAAGCATTCGAAATCCTGTTTCTATAGAATTTATCTGATCTGAAAAAAATTTAATTAAATGTTAAATGAAAGCAAAGCACAAAACTACATTCAGAATGAACTCAGACCTTTTGGAACAAGATAGAGGTCTTGACAAAACAAAGTATAGCACCAATTTTGAGAATACAGAGAGAGTTGGAGTGGGCAGACAAGGCCATATGGACAGCAAGAGTGTTCTTCCTGAGAAGGACAATTATGGATTATTTTTAGTTTTTCTTTATATATTTTCTGTTTTCCTCCCAAATTGTTGTGACATGAATTGTTTTTATCATCAAAGGAGTAATGAGTTACATATTTTGAAAGGCTGCCATATTTCTATGTAAACAAAAGATAATGGGGAATTTCACTTATCAGCATGTACAGTTTTGGTGTGAGGCAGTGTGTATCAGTCACCTGCTAACACGATGCTGTGTAACAACCATGAAAGCTCAGTGGCACACAGTAACACACTGGAGGTTGGCTAGGGTATCTCTGCTCCACGTATCTCTCATCCTGGGACTGGTGGGCTGGGCAGGGCGTGTTCTTTTCTTATGCATGTTCAGGCACAAGAAAGTGACCTGAAAACACTCAAGATCTTCTAACCCTGGGCAGAATCTGGCACATTGTTATTTCTGTCCACACTGTGTTAGCGAAAGCACAGCAAATCACATGGCTGAGCCCAAAGTCAAGGGCGGGATGACAAAGTCGCCTACCAAAGGGCACGAATGCAAGAAAAGGATACAACCCCTAACGGAGATTAATGTTTTCTGTTAAGCAAATCAAAATGTTCGTTTGGAATCAGAAGTAAAATTAACTTCCTGCAGTTGTCTCTTTGAAGACTGTTGCTAATGTACATTCTGTTTTTATTGTACTTGTGAGTTAGAAACACTCACCCCATTGAGCAGCTCTTTCTGTCTCCTTAGATCCTGGCCAACGTGATCATTTTCATCTGTGGGAACCTGGCGGGCGCCTACCACAAGCACCTCATGGAACTTGCTCTGCAGCAAACGTATCAGGACACGTGTAACTGCATCAAGTCCCGGATCAAGCTGGAATTTGAAAAACGTCAGCAGGTAATGCATTTTTGATCTCATGTCCACATTATTTTAAGCATTATAAAAATAATGTTGCTGCTGTTAATATCAAATGTGGAATCCATTCATGCATGGCCTTCAGAAAAGAAACCAGAGCAGCTGATTGCCTGTGCCTGGCCCAGGCTCTGCACTTGGAGAGTTATAAACAAAAGGGCAGAGATGGCATCTTCCCTGTGCAGCTTCCAGACCCGAGACCTGGGTCACCCACAGGTAGGCAGCCACATCAGCCATCGTCAACACATGGCGGGGGAAATTCAAATAACGACACTTCCTTAAGCACTCGCTTTTGGTTAGTGTTTGTGGCAAGAGTTTCCCCTTGCTGTGCCTTTGCAGCTCTTTGTAGGGTCCTGTTGTCCACAGAGGAGGAAATGACGGAGCCCTTCCCGAGGGAGAGGATTGGAGTCGGGAAGGAGAGTCTAGGAAGGAGCTAAGCTGGAGTAGTTGTCAGAGGCTCTCCCAGGGGGATTGTTGTCGGCGATGCATAGAAATGTATATCAGGGAAATATACAGACTGCAAGGAAGCCTAACAGGAAATAAACAACGAAGACCAGAGGAGAGGTGGGGAAACAAAGCCACCTGGTATCGAGGACGGTGGGAAACAGGACACACAGGTGTGCTGTGGAAGGGAAACCATAAAGGGACCCTGCATCTGACATGTGAACTGTTTAGTGCATTTCTCACTGGGAACCTGGTCTGTAAAGGCAAGAATTATTATATCATGGCTGTCTGTGAACACCGTGTCCCCTTCTCTGTGATACCTATGCTGTTAGCAGTATTTGGCACACTGTGGATGTGTAATTATTGTTTGTTAAATTGTATTGAATTAGTCCGTTCTATAAAATTTCATCAAAATGTATTGTGGTGTGAGCAAAACAAAAATATCCTTTAAATGCTGGCACTGGACTTTTGTTTGTGTATGGACTGTTGAAGAGTAATCAGATTCCTTTTCTCAAACAGGGGTATTAGTTCATTCATTCAACAGATATTTATTGTGCATCAATTTTGTGTCAGGCATGGTTCTAGGCACTGGGGTATTGCTGTAAACATTCTTTGTCACGCTATTAGGGGAAAATCTCATAATTTCTCTTAAAAAATTGCATTTTGTCTTATCACCTACCTGGCAAAGGAATTCAGTAACTGAGGTTTGATTCTATGGTCTATGTGTATATCAAATTCTGGATTCAGCTTTAAGAGACATAGACAGTTTTTAGCTTGGGACTGTTATCCAGTGATTATACATTTGTGCTTGGAATGTTTTACATCTGGGCCCTAGAAAATTCCAGTTTCCACAAGCAGCACTTAGTGTTCACGGTTGGTCCTGCTCTCCTACGTGCCGTGGAGCTCAGATGTCTTAGGAGAGATGGTTTCCTTTCTCAAACAGGAGAGACTGGATCGGGTGGGTCTGGACAGGCATATTTAACTTTTTTTTCCCACTACTTCCATATTCTCCTTCAGAATAGCACAAGGCTACAGAAAACTAAAAATCCAAGTACATTATATAACCTAATATTTATCGTAACAGCATTGACAAAAGCAGTATGTCAGGTTACTGGCCTCTCCTACATTTCCTGTTTCTCTGAAGAGACCTGAGCAGCCCAAAGCGTGTGGCGCCCCTTGCCACGGTGAGCTGAGGGCTCCAAATGGCCAAACAGGCCACACTGACCTTCTGTGGCTCAGGAACTAGAACCCTGTGGCATCGGACGTGCCAGAGACTCTCTAGGGCCGTCATGGGAGACCTCAGATGGGCATCTACTCATGCATCTACTGGTTTGAGAAAAAGAAGCTAGTGGTCCTTTTTAAGATAAGGGAAAAGGGGCACTTTGAAGAAGTAAAAATTGATATTAAAGATGTTTAATAAAATATAATTTACCACCTCAAATGCATTCTGTCACAAAAATCGGAAGTCCACTTCCAGGGTCTGATGCCTAGAACGTAGTGCTTTTCTTTTTAGGGCTTTAGAAAATATGTTTCTAGAATAAGAATCAATGTGTGTACTTTTTTCAGACTGCATGTAATTAAGTGGGAAAAAGAAATTATCTTGGTTTAAAAATTCAATACGATATAATCTGATAGGTGTAAGGAAACTAATAAAAATCGGCCAATGACAGTCTATGTGGCCTTCACAGAGGGGAGCAGTCCCTGACACAATGAGGGTGAGCAGGCCATATACAAATTAAGGTCTTGGGCCCAATATGTCCCTTCCTTAGGTCCCATTTGTCACTTCCCTTTGATCTTACATGTCATTTCCTCTGGGTCCCACATGTCACTTCCCTTGGGGTAGCACATGTCACTTACCAGAAGTCCTACATGTCATGTCTCTTGGGTCCCACATGTCACTTTCCTTGGGTTTCACATGTCACTTTTCTTAGGTCCCACATGTCACTTCCTTTGGGTCCCATGTGTCACTTTCTGCTCTCCCCAGGCCACAAACTGCCTTTGCTTCATCTGCAATCATGATGGCAAACAGTAACGTCCTTTAAGTTTCTTCATGCAGAAGGACGTGTGCTGAGCAGCCAGAAAATGATTTGTTTCGGTCTTTGTTTGGATAAATACCTTCCAAATGATGGTGAATTTTGGCAGTTGGTTCCGAGCCAGGTGATGCTCCCAGAGGTTGAGAGACCAGTGTCTTGAATAGATCCTGGCCTTGCTTCCTATCTCTGCTTCCTGTTGCCCCTAATCCTTGGTGAGGACGCAAGTGGCAGGTGAGCCCAGGAGGCTGCTCCTCTTCAACCTGGGAGGGGCTACGAACGGTTGATACTTCTCAGAAGTGTCTATGGATTCTGAACTCTTTTCAAAATTGCTGAACTCTGTACTTTCTTTTCTTCAAATTTTGTAATATTTTTCATGATAGAAATGGATGAATTTTAAAGATTAAAAAGCAGGTTTGAATAAAGTGGCTATTTGCACTATATGATTTTGAGTGAGGAGGGAATAAAAAATGTTGGTACGGAGTTTCTCAGAGTTTAATTCTCGCCCTAAAAGTGCCCTCATGGATCAACAATAAAAATCATGATTTTTTCGAGGTAGGAACAGGAATGCATTGCGTTAGAATTGAGGCCACCTTTGAGGACTGAAGTATTCAGCTCTCTAAGTTTTGCCTTTTGTCTTAAGTTTCACATCCTACAGTAAAAGTCGAAACCATTTCCTTTTCCTGAGCACCATGCAGTGAGACAGATGGCTCTCTGTCAGACCTGAGAAAACACACTCCTGCAAGTGTTTCTCTCTGGAGCATGTAACAGACTCTCAGGAATTGAGGAGACCTGGATTCTGAGCAAAACAAGAGCCCTATCTCCTGACTGCCTAGGCAGTTGAAATAAATGTTGCCTCTGTAGGAGTAAAAACTTTTATTCTCTTTTAGACAGAGAATAAACCCTCTTTAATTTACAGATTGTCATTGTTTTAAAGTAATTCAAAGAATTTTTACACGGTCTACCTTAATCTGGAACCATCCTATGGATTGTGCATGACAGAATATGCGTTCCAGTAGAAAATACTTGTCAATCGAAGCACAGAGACCCCATGCTGTCCCTGGATTCTGTACCCCTCTGTGGGGGATTAGTGAATCAGTAGGCTTCCTGGCTGTCCTTGGATGCAAAATTGTTTTCCTCTCTGCAAACTTCAGTGAAACAAGCAAGTGGTCTTGTGTGCCCATGGCTGGGTAGATAATGAACGTATTCATCTTTATCCTAATATACTAGCACTGTGGACCCCAACCCCCGGGCCTCAGCCCAGTACCACCTGAGCTCTGCACCACCTCCCCCGCCATGACATCCCGCCCCCTGACCCTCAGTCCGTGGAAGAGTTGTCTTCCATGAAACCGGTCCCTGGTGCCACAAAGGTTGGGGACTGCTGTCAGGTGAAATATTATGGCTTAATTGAATGTATTATGTAAGTCATTTATGTTACTAGGTGAAGTGTTTAAGTTGTTCTAGATTTGAGCTACTAAAATTTGGCCCTTTTTCATTTGGGAAAAGAAGAACAGAAGCAACTAATATTTCTTTGAGTTCTCATAATGTTCCAGGTGGTCTATTTAGTACTTTATGTATCTTGTTCTTTCAGATTTCTAGTGCTGCCGTATTAGGCCATTACAAACTTGGTGGCTTAAAACCCCCAAGAATAGATTTGTTATTTTATAGTTCCAGAGGTCAGAAGTCTAAAATCAGTCTCCCGGGGCTAAAGTCAAGGTATTAGCAGGGCTGGGTTTTCTGGAGGCTTTGCCGGGAGAATCCATTTCCTTGCCCTTTCAAACTTCCAGAGGGGCTGCCTGCACTCCTTGGCTGCTGGCCCCTTCTTCTGTCTTTAAAGCCAGTGGGACTATGGTCTATGTGTATATCAAATTCTGGATTCAGCTTTAAGAGACATAGACAGTTTTTAGCTTGGGACTGTTATCCAGTGATTATACACTTGTG